AGATCATCGAGTCCAACCATTAACCTAACACTGCCAAAGCTACCACTAAACCATGTCCCTAAGCTCTACCTCTGCCCATCTTTTAAATACTTGCAGGGATGGTGATTCAACCACTTCCCTGGGCAGCCTGTTCCAATGCTTGACAACCCTTTTGCTAAAGAATTTTTTCTTGATGTCCATTCTAAACCTTCCCTGGCACAACTTGAGGCTATTTCCTCTTGTCCTGTGACTTGTTACCTGGGACAAGAGACCAGCCTCCACCTCTCCACAACTTCGTTTCAGGTAGTTGTAGACAGCAGTAAGGTCTCCCCTCAGCCTCCTTTTCTCCAGGCTAAACAACCCCAGTTACCTCAGCTGCTCCTGATAAGATTTGTTCTCTAGATCCCTCACCAGCTTTGTTGCCCTTCTCTGGACATGGTCCAGCAGCTCAATGTCCTTTCTGTATTATGGGGCCCCAGAACTGAAGACAGTATTCAAGGTGTGGCCTTACCAGCTCTGAGTACAAAGAGACAATCGCTTCCCTAGTCCTGCTGGCCACAAACACATTTCTGATACAAACCAGGATGCTTTTGGCCTTCTTGGCTGTCTGGGCACACTGTTGGCTCATATTTAGCTGTCTGTCTACCAGTACCCCCAGGTCCTTTTCCGATGGGCAGCTCTCCACCTGCTTTTCCTCCCCAAGCCTGTAGCACTGTATGAGGTTGTTATGACCCAAGTGCAGGACCTGGCGCTTGGCCTTGTTGGACCCCACACCATTGGCCTTGGCCCGTTGATCCAGCCTGTCCATATCCCTCTGTAGAGCCTTCCCACCCTCAAGCAGATCAACACTCCCACCCAGTTTGGTGCATTCTGCAAAGTAACTGAAGGTGCACTTGATGCCCTCATCCAGGTCGTTGAAAAGATATTAAACAGAACTGGCCACAATAATGAGCCCTTGGAACACCACTTGTGACTGGCCTCTACCTGGATTTGACTCCATTCACTACAACTCTGGGCCTGGCCCTCCAACCACTTTTTTACTCAGCGAAGAGTACTCCCATTCAGGCCCTTAGAAGCCAGTTTCTCCAGTAGAATGCTGTGGGAGATGGTGTGAACGGCTTTACTAAAGTCTAGATAGACAACATCCACAGCTTTTCCCTCATCCACTAAGCAGGTCACCTTGTCATGGGAGGAGATTAGGTTAGTGAAGCAGAAATAATGCGTCAGTTACCACTCCAGGTGCTTGAATTTGGTAATCTTAACAGGTTTAGACTCTATTAATTAAGATTAATTTAAAATCAAGTTGATTTAAATCAGTCCCTCAGATATAAACTGTTACAGTGCACAGACTGATTTTTTTTTTCTCTGAGAAGCCACTTCAAGCTTTTTGCTGTGTTCCGCCCCCCAGCTCACAAAGCCCCAACTAGAAATATCTACTGTTTGTGTAAGAATTGATCCTATGTCCTGGGGGCATTTGGGAGATGCAAAGCGTAAGACATATTGGCTGCTACTGGACCTTACTAAAATACTTAATTTCCTCACTGTTTTTCCTCTATGGCCTGGCTAATGCAAGCATGTTTCGGTAGTTTTGACAGAAGGCTCATATTCTTAAACAGATCCATGGGTTATTTAAAGGGTATATACAAAGCCTTTGGCTTTTGCTTGATAAGTGATCACTTAAACGAAGCTCCCCCCTGCCTGAAATTTTTATCTTGTGGTGTTATTGTTCCAGCTAAGTTTGCAGTGTGCTTTAGCTAAGCTTATGTCATTCTTTCCATGATAACTGTGGAATTTTTTTTTCTCTAGGATTTATAACTTGCCTGAAAAATTTCTATCTTCAGCTTAATCTCAATGTAGGGTGTCAGCCAGGACGCTGTTTGTACTTAATTTGGTTTGGACTAGCTTTGTCACTCAAAATAGAGGAAGGTCAAAAAAAAAAGGGAAGCTTGACACTTTATGCATTTTTGAAAATCCCACAGAGGCATGCATTTCAAACGTGACGTTTTATGGCCTATTAGAGTCTGATACCCAATGCTGGGCTGTGCCTTGTGTTGACTAAAACATGTCAAAACAGCCTAGGTGTTATCGTGGGAGAAGAGGAATGAAGAGAACTGCCCTAGCTCATTGTAGAGTCCAAGGCCCTGATTTGTGACTTATCTAAATTGGAGAGTAATTCCTCTATCTCTGGGTAAGTTTCATAGGTGGCTTCAGCTGTGTGGCCGCTGCCTTTATCATTCCTTCTGTTTAAAGACCACTGCTGTGGGACCATTGGTCAGACTGATCATTTGTTAAGGTAAATAAAAGGTTTTTGGTTTGGATTTTTTTTTTTTTCTTCTAGTGTTCTAATGTTAGCACCAGGTGTAGGACCAGGTCATTCTCCCCCTCTTCTCTGCACTGGTGAGGCCACAACTGGAATACTGCGTCCAGTTCTGGGCCCCCCAGTTCAAGAGGGACAGGGAACTACTGGAAAGAGTCCAGCGAAGGGCAACAAAGGTGATTCAAGGATTGGAACATCTCCCTTATGAAGAAAGACTGAGAGAGCTAGGACTCTTTAGTCTGGAGAAGAGAAGGCTGAGGGGAGACCTTATTAATGCTGACAAGTATCTCAAGGGTGGGTTGAAGGAGGAGGGAGCCAGACTCTTTTCAGTGGTTCCCAGTGAGAGGACGAGGGGCAACGGGCACAAGTTGGAACATAAGAGGTTCCACTCAAATATGAGAAAAAACTTCACAGTAAGGGTGACAGAGCCCTGGAACAGGCTGCCCAGGGAGGTCGTGGAGTCCCCTTCTCTGGAGCTTTTCAAGACGCGCCTGGATGCAGTCCTGAGTGATGTGCTCTTGGCAATCCTGCTTTAGCAGGGGAGTTGGACTAGATGATCTCTAGAGGACCCTTCCAACTCTGTCAAATCCATGAATCAGGGAAGGAAGGCTCCATTTGGCAGTAGCATCATTTTAGATAGGCTTACATATACCAGAGACTCCCACTTCTGCTGCAGGAACAGTTGATTTCTTACAATGATATCCAAAATCACAGTTCAGAGTCTTGATGTGTTAAGAGATCCCCAAACCAGAGCTGATTTCCTATAATTCATGGCGATTCAGCACCTGCCGCCTGCCAAAAGGGTGGAAACCTCTTGGAAAGGGGGAGGAGGTTAAATGGAGACAAGAATTGCTTTTTCCATTCCATTGCTTGGTGTGCTTTCCTGTGATGGACCACAGGGGTGCTTTGTGGCACATGAGGGGAATGAAACTGTTACTTCAGTAGGTGCTTGAATACTGCAGAAACTCAACATATTCTGAAAAGTTCACCAGGAAGATCAGCTTTATGATACTTATGGAATTGCAGAGACACCCAACAATGAGGACAGGGTAATAGTAATATTTTATATGTTGTGTTAAGAAAGTCCAACTGGGAGATGAGCGCTCTGAAAGAATTTTGCCTGCATTCAGTTTGTTCTACATGTTGTCTAAATGAAACTTCATCCTGCCAGCCTTCCTTTGCGGTACAGTTACTTTGCTAATACTGTGGAGTTTTAGACCTTTGAATGACACAGGCATTGATGAGGAATGAGCTTGGTACCTGTTAATGAGCTAAAATGTAGCTAAAACCATCATTTTCCTGTGGCAACTTAATGTGTGAAGTTGAAAGTACTACTTTTGTCCAGCAGTCTCTGTGTAGCCAAGGATAAACACACGTCACCTGTGAAATTAGACAACAGGTTTTTTTGAGGGGAAGAGGCTCCTTTAATATCATGAGAAGCTCATGAGCTTTGGCTTACACATTTTTTTTTCCTTTCATCTGAATGCATTGAGTTTCAGGGCAGGCTGCAGTTCTAATGGGAGGCTTGAGGAGAGCAATTGTACTCAACAGTAATTTTGGGGATATTTTTTCATCCTTTTTGTTTTAACCTGCTTTTAAGGCTTAATTGGACTTAGCTACTTTTGTCTCCTTTGTTTTTTGGTTTTTGCTTTCGAATAACTGTCATGGGATTTCTGATTTTAGTCTAAACTCCTTTTAAGTCTGTATTTATATATTTCAATATATGAACAAATATTATAGCCACATGATATAGCCCAAAGTCACCTTTAATAGCCAGGTTTTTCTTAATTCAACAAGTCCATCTTTTGTCCATCTTCATTTCTGTAGAGGTGGTTTAAGGTGTCCTTTGAATACTTCACGCTCGTGCAGGTGAGCTGGGTCACAGAACTGATTTGACCCGAGCGAAAATGAGTATTTGGCCAGATCAGTTTCACAGTCTGATTCACCATCTGGTTGCACAGTTTCTTTTATGTCTGCTTTTCTCTGGCTTCCGTTGTTTGTCAATAGCTGCTTCCCCACACAGTTTGAGCTGCCACAAATTACAGCCTGACTTGTTAAGGAAAACCAAAATGAGTGGCAATTTACATTCATAGGTTGTCCTGTGAACTGGGGCAGCTCAGCTACTGCTGCCACATCTTCAGGATCAGTCAGTCTATCCTGGCTGCTTGAGCTGAGAAGTTTTGGGGAAGGCATCTGGGGACACAGTCTCCTGCAGCCACTGACGTGAGCTGTCTTAGAAGTGTGAGGACTCATCTGCGTGGAAGCTTTACCATTTTAACTAGAAAACTCCTTGTATTACCCTCCCACACTCAAGTGTATGTGTATTGTGATACAAGTGAGTCATTTCTGTCTGTCTATCTATATTTTTATCTATATTGCCTTCCTCAGTGGAATAAACATGCTAACGATGATATATGCTGGCATTATCAGAATGGTCTAAATAGTGCTGTTACTGTGCTGGAACTGAAGGTACCACTGAATTGGGGTGTAGTATATACATGGAGATCAGAGCATGAAGGACTTTTTTTTGCACCCTCTAGAACTGTGGTTTGATTTACATTAATAAGTATGTTAGATTTTGGGGGATATACATTTGTGTGTATATACTTTTGGGCTTTGCTAAAAGCTGCTATCCCTTCTGTTCCTAAACCTAACCAGCACATATTGTGATTTAATTTGTGTACATCTCTGCTTTGTTTTTCAGATACATGTATTGGACTGACTGGGGTGAAACACCCAGAATAGAACGGGCAGGAATGGACAGCAGCACACGAAAAATAATTGTCGATTCAGATATTTATTGGCCAAATGGACTCACAATAGATCTTGATGAGCAGAAACTTTACTGGGCTGATGCAAAACTGAGTTTCATTCACAGGGCAAATCTAGATGGTTCCTTTAGGTAAGTTTCTTTTAGTTAATAATATGGTGTAAATTTTGAAGGCTTTTTTTTTCAGTAATCTAGAATAATGCTAATACCGTCTTAATTCTTTTTAAATGCAATTGTTAATAGCCTTGCAACAAGTAAAATAGCCTCACCTCCTATAAAACTGGTGTTAATAGTAAGACTCTTTGCATTAGTATTTCACTACAAACTGCTTATAGCCGCCTTGTATGGCAGGATTTTTCATTTTTAGGCTCAGATCTGTCTTGAAAATAGTTGGAGATGTTTATCCTTGGCCCTAGGCAAGCTAACATTTTACAGTGTTGTTACTCTATCTTTTTTCAATAGGAAACATACACTGAGACCCCACTTGTCCTTGGCCCCATCCAAAGGTGTCCTTAGTGGCATTTCTATGAATTAACCAAATTCAGCTTGTTTCAGACTGCAAGCAAGAAGGAAGCAGATTTTCCTAAGGTCTGATAGAAGCACAGTGTGAAAGTTTTGGTTGGTGGCTCTTGTCCAAGTGGCCTTTTGAGTTTTGGCTTTTGTAGACACAGAGAGGTGACCCTTCAGACATCACAGACCTAGACATTTGAGCTTGCACCTTCAACTGTGCAGTGTTCAATGGGCATGTTGTGTTGGTCGTTGAGGGTGAGTGTCATCTGCCAGTGAAATGTCCTGCTGAGGAGGCAAGTCTCTGCATTCTAGCCTGGCTTTGGTCTTAAGGTAGTTTCAAATGACATTTTCATAATTTCATAACATTTTAAATGTCTGTGTTATGAAATCATTTTGCTTTGGTAAAAAGTTGGGGGAGTTTTATTTTGCGCATATCTGTGTAATAGAATAAATATTCCACTCACACACACCATTTTCCATGGTGTTTTTCAATTTGTTTTACTGAGGTGCATTCGGTGCTTGATTTTCACACTCCTAAAAGAGAAATAACAATATTGACTTCCTTTATAAAACACTCTTAAGTTCCTTTGAGAGCACTACGTAAGAACTAGATAATGGTACCATTGTAGTGAGTGACAAGTACTGACTGACAGACAGAAGTATAGACAAGGGAAAGGCTTTATGGAAGGCAATGATAGCTCAAAGACTGGGTGCAGGTTCATAGACAGAAAGAAACCGCTGTCTTAAGATTCAGAATCTAAGAGAGATTTTCATACAATGCAACATGAATATATTTCTCTGATTTGGGTGCGAGTGGCAGAGGGTAAGTTTCCAGGCTGATTCTGCAGTTATCATGCACATACAAATTGTATAAACTTTACTCGCATGTATGTGTAAAAGCTTAAAGTTGTAATTGGTATGTAAAATTTATTTTGCTGATTTTAAAGTAGAGGCCACCTGAAAGGGAGCAAGCCTTTGAATACACTAAATCCAGCAATCTGTCTGAATTACTTTGTGATAGATTAGTGCACGTCCACCACCTCCCAAGCAGTTTTCTATTGAAAATTCACTTAACATGAATTTTTTTTTTTAAGTCTTTTTCCCACTTAACTGATTAATGTTGAAACAGAAATCTGTGAAGTTGGGACTTTTAATTCTGGTGTCAAGGTAGCAATAATGGCTCAAACTAGATGATAACTTTGGAGGTTGCTTCTGCTCCTTAAACAAAGGACAAAATAAGTTTCACACAGACTTGTCCATAAAGAAATCTTATGGTGTTTCAGATGCTTCTATCCCTCCTGTCCCAAAGTCACTTCAGAATTCAAATAAAAAGGAAATTTGCATTCTGCATCATGGATTAATCTTACTGGAACAACCTGCCTGTTACATTTTAGCAAGCTTCAGCTTGCAAGCACATCGGCTGGAAGTGTTTCAAGGGATGTAATTGCAGGAGAACGGGAGACTTGATATCTAAGAATGATGGAAATAGGGGCAATATATAGTGGAAAACAGCCGCTACAATACTAGAATACAGCTACTGCTGTTACTAATAAAAAAGCAACAGCAAATGTGAGAGTGGAAAGAGGACGTGAAATCACTATTTCTATTTATTCTGTTGTATTTTGTGGTGAGAGAAGTAGTGATAATTTGAAGGACAGAAATTTGAGAGCAGTTTCAATTTTATCTCTAGAACAGAAAGGACAATAATAATTTTCTTTTTTTTTCTGCATTACCTGCTTTTACGTGTATGTGCAAGTACTTGTTTGCATGTATCAGTCTGTTTTAAACTTGTCCATGTCTGAATACATATGAAGAATTTTGGGGGTACTTTTTATATTCCCCCCACCCTGGAAAATGCAAATGCTGCTTAAAATGAAACAGAATAATTTCCCTGCCAAATGTTAGCTGTTTTTTGTTTTTTCTTTAGTCTCTTCAATAGAAAAAATTTAAATGCAGGTCTGAATATAGAAATAAGAAAAATCATAGAATCATCGAATGATTTAGGTTGGAAGGGACCTTAAAGATCATCTAGTTCCAACCCCCCTGCCATGAGCAGGGACACTTTCCACTAGATCAGGTTACTTAAATATACATTCCTCACTTTCCTTCAGGATAATGCTGAGACTTCAGCTTTCTCGAATTTCTGTGAGGAAAAATTTTGAATTCTGGTTTGCTGTGTCAAAACACTGGTTTGAAAGGTGTGTGTTTGTCTTTGTGTTTCTGCATACATAAAATGCATTAGTTTTGTGAAAACTGGGTTCATGTTGTTTTGACTGAGGAATTGTCAAGTATGTTTTCACTGACTTAGTAAATGTCTCCAAAACTACTGATTATAAATTATACAAAGTTATTGCAATATGTATACATTTGGGGATCCTGTGAGTTTAGAAAACATGGTAGAAATGTCATGTGTTTTGTGGCTGATAACCAGTGTGAAAATATATGCATCCCCAGAAGAGGCGTGGCTGAATCAGGTCACTGAAAAACATTTGAAATGTTTCTAATTTATGTGTGTTATAAATATTTAGTCTTAGAAAAAATACAGCTGACCCTTGCTTTGTATTTAAAAAGATAATCTGAAAAATATTTGTTTCTGCTGCTGACCAAGTCAGCAAGAGGGGTGATTTAAAGAGGCTCTTGGGTCATTTCTTCCTTTTCCTGCTACAAGAAAGGACTGAGTGCGACTGAAATCCTGGGCAAATATGTACTATATTGCATAGGAAGACAAAAAAAGTAGTTCTTTAATTGGAGGAGCACTCTTTGGACCCCTGTTTCCTCCAAAAGGCAATTGTGTTTGGGTATTTGCACAGCCCTGTTAAGGAACTTCAATGAGGCCAGTGTGGATCTGAATCAGATACCACGTCTCTATGAAACCCAGTATATTTGTGTCATTATTGCTATGAAGGGGCAAAGTCTTGTTTTACATTTTTCAGTCTGATCATCACTTTTATCACCAAGTGATCTGGTTGATCTGGTGAATTTGTTAAAAGAAGACAATTCCTAAAGGAGTTTTTACAAAACCAGATTTTTTTTCTGCATGGTAACAAGTGGAAGCAATGCATTTTTAATCCTTGCTCTTTCTTCCCTCTAGGCAAAAAGTTGTTGAAGGTAGTCTGACTCACCCCTTTGCACTGACGTTGTCTGGGGACACTTTGTATTGGACAGACTGGCAAACGCGCTCCATCCATGCCTGTAACAAAAGGACGGGAGAGAAAAGGAGAGAAATACTGTCTGCTCTATATTCGCCGATGGACATCCAGGTCTTAAGTCCAGACCGGCAGCCATACTGTATGTTTTACTTTTCCCTGGAACTTTTTACATGCTATTACTTATCTATCAGGAAAAACAGTAATCATAAAAATGGTTAATGTGAAGTTGTAAGGTTTTGAACACTTGTCAGGGGTTGGTTGCTAAGGGTCTAAGTACCCAAGTACCTTTCTTTGAAAATTCCAGCCTGGATTAGTATGAGCTCACTCATCATCCCAGTTGGTAACAAAATGCAAAATCCAGTGCACTACTTCGATAACATCTTTTGATTTGCGGTATCTGAATGAGAATGATGAAGACTCACCTGGCATCTTTTTAACACCATTATTTTAACAACAACTGAAAAAAAAGCTTATCATTACTTTTTTTTTTTAATAAGTAGAATTACTATAAAATATGTAATGTTCATGTTTTACTTTTAAATGCTGTTTTTGCAGCTCAGACTTGATCATGTTTATCTTCAATAACAAATTGTGTACCAAATTGTTTATGGGTGTTTCAGGAAGGGATTTAGTTCTTAGCTTTTATATGAAACATATACGTCCCTCAATTTCTTCTTTATGTATGATGCTACTTCAAAAGAAGGCAGGTGTACAGAATTGAGAATTGAATGAGGTTGTATATATATTCTATATGCATGTGATTCTGGGTGGCAGTTGGTCTAGGTTTTTTTTTTAGTATTATGAGAATGGGACTTAAAAGCAGTGGGGTGGAAATATATGTAATTGAGTATCTATGGGAAGAATCATGTCTTGCCTAGGGGAGATACTCTTGCCATTTGGATTGGCTTCTTTATTTATGCCAACTATAAAGTCTGCTTCCCTAAAGATAACATTTGTTATTCTAGTAAAGTTTATAGGATGTCAGTAAACAGGCTTGAAAGTAAGCAGAAGGAGTTTGGAGATCATCTTGGTGGTGGAACACGTGCAAGTTTTCATTGAGGTTGTCGGGTATGCGCAGCACCCTAGTTTATCTTACAGCTGCAGATAAGAGTTTGTCTATGCTGAATTCTTGTCATTGATTTTAGCTCAGGGAATGTCCCACCCTTGGGTCAGAGTATTTCTGGGTCAGTCACAAAGAAAATAGGGAACTGGCATGTGCTGAAAATAGCTCAGATGCCACTGACTTCATTAAGATCAGGCTTGGAGTCCTTCCTCTCACTTTTTTTTTTTTCTCTTTGTGACTGTCAGTGGAAATAACACAAGCCAAATTAGCCGGAAATCTTGCGGTTTTATATTAAAGCAGTTCAGATGCTTGTTCAAACTATGATTGATTTGGGAGAGATCTTGCAAAACTTGCAGTTTCAGGGGTATTTTAATAGCTAGAAATATTCTCCATAATTAATTATGGTTAGTGTTTCATCTCTTGCTACCATTTTTTTTCCCCATGTAATTGAGATAGGTGCATGTAGTTGTTGTGTGTCCATCCCTGTCCTGTCTCCCCACTCCCAATTTTTATTTTTTTTAAATGTTTCCAAAATTGCTGACTTTACATGTTGCTCCTCTGGATTTCCTGGTGATTTAGGGCTATGTCTTGCTATGAAAGCTTTGCAGTAGGAAAAGATATTTCCAACATTGAACACTACTGTAGTGCAGCAATTGTACAAATTGTTATGTTTCCCATTCTTTCATAGAACTGGCCACCCCCCCCCCCCCCCACCATCACCACCCTCCAAACCCTGTGTCCTATTTTCATGATGGTTAGCAGATGTGGCATCCACAGAGTAACTGATGTCCAAAGCTCTTAGCTGTATTCAGCTTTAGAAACATTGAAAGAACTGTAGAGTAAGAATGTGGTGAGCTGTCAGCTTTTTCAAAATCAGCTTTTGCATGCATCTCAATTTAGGTGCCCCTAGAAGTAAGATGTTGGAAAGAGAGGAATCAAACACTTAATTTTGTGGGTCATATGTCTTTTAGCACTAAAGCTTTGTGCCATTCATTTGGGATCTGTAATTTCTTCTTCATGGAGAAAAGAGGGCTTTAAAGGTTGTTGAAAAATGAAAATAAATTTCTTTGGTTTCTTGAAGTTCACACTCCATGTGAAGAAAACAACGGTGGTTGCTCCCATCTGTGCCTGCTGTCTCCAAGAGACCCCTTCTACAGCTGTGCCTGTCCCACTGGTGTGCAGCTAGAAGATGATGGCAGGACGTGCAAATCAGGTAGGAGTTTTCCTTTTCTACAGTGACAGTGCTGACTTGGGTTGGGGTTGACACTTAAAAGTTAAGCCTTGAAGAAGTGAGATGAGAGGAACTGCCTGACACACTGAAATGTCACTTTTGTCCTGATGAAGAGGGCAGAAATTTTGCACCCAAATCTCCTGCCAAAGATGGTGATTTTTATGAATAAAATTAATCCCTTGCATCAGAAATCAGAGAATCTTTACTGTATTTTGTGTCTTTTGACTGTATTTTGTGTTGCCAGTTCTCTGTAGGAATGAGGTAGTATGTAGTATTCCCCACAGCAGGAAAATTTTATTATAAGTAAGCTATTGTAGGACATCTTTCCGTTTGTACAAAGGACCGTCGACAGACTTACGCTCCCTACCATTTGTTGTCTAGTGATGCAGTAGTGGTGTCTGAGTTGTCGCCTTCCAGTTGCATTTTAAAGTTAGCAATATGCTTGAGACAAGTTCTGCACACAGATGTGCCAAAACCACACATTGCCTGTGTGCCCATGTTCTGTCTTAGAGATAACGTAGTGGGTTGCCCCTGCTTCAGTTAGTTTTATAATCTGTACAGCAAAATTCAAAATTAAGATTGAAACGAAAAATACTATTTTTCTGGTTCTGAAGATTAATCATCCCTTTGTTTCCCCCTGGGCTGCTCTGTGGGAAAGATTAATGAGGAAAATTGCAATGAGAATTTTTTCTTCCTGGGTCTAGTTTGTGGTTTTTGGACATTATATTTAATTTTAAAATGTGAGGCAAGGCTTTGTGCGAAGACACTTATAATGTTTGCTGCTTGAGATAATTGAGCTAGAGAAAATAATGTTGTAGGTGGCTGTTCCATGTCACTGAGAAGTAGAAGGAAAGGCTTGTGTGTTACCACTAGAAAGCTGTTTAGAGAATAAAAGCTGGATTATATGCTTTAATTGAAAAGTATAACTAGATGCATATTCCATATTTGTAAGTTGATTAAGTCTAGTGGTATACTTTGAAAGCTTTGTTTTATCATTGATCAGGAAGCCTCTTTTAAATGTGTCTTACAAAAGCATGCAATTAACACTGATATGGTGGTAGGACACTAGGAGGCAAAGTCTTGGAGAATGTTCTGCCAACGGACTGCAAGACACTCTGCTGCCTGTCTCCAATGTGTTTTCAACAAGTCTTGTCAAAGAGTATGGTCATTTTCTGATGTGGCTTGAAAGCATAATAGATTCTTTTCATTTGTGAACTTGAAGCAGAATTTGAACACTGAACCTCCAGGGTTTAGGGACCACCTTTAATAGCTCATCGTGCTGCAGTTGTCTTATAAGATAGTTCTTGCAGCTGCTGAAAGACCTTTCTCTTTCCTCCTTCCAGCTTTGGAAAGTTTCCCTTTCACAGCTTTTAAAAAAACATGGGTCAATGCTTGGGACAACAGTTTTAGATGTTCATATTGACCTCATGTTTCTGCCAGTGGGGATGAAGGTCAGTCTGCTTTTGGCATTTTGGTGGATAGCACAAGCAGGAGTGACTGCTGATACTGCGTTTTCACCTTTCCATTGTCAGGCTAGACAATCTGTCAAGGGTATTCTGACAAAGGAGGGCAAAAAAGTGGGATGGGAACAGGAAATGTGGTTTTGCATAAGAATGTGGCCTTTTGCTTCAGTTTTATGGATTATTTCTTTCCCAAGCTCCACATCTTTTGTTGTCCTGTCTACCTTATGCCAACATGCATGTGCTTCTCTTTCCCCTCTTTTAATTAACTCCTTGGTTGCAAGGAACTGACTTTTTGTTCTCTGCACGAGTCCTTTGTAGTAAAGTTGTATCGGGAACTGCGGATGCAACAGTGTTTACCACTTCTACATTTTGTTCCCTATTGGCTTGGGCGAAAGTGCAGAAGTAAAAAGTCAATTGGGCATATTGGCTTCTTTGACGTTAGACTTTTAAGTGAATTATACAATTATTAAGTGAATTATAAATTATTTAAGTGAATGCTACTGGGCATTTGTTTGCAACAGGAAAACACATTCTGCTTGCAAAATCTGTGTCCACTGGTGCAAATATAACTGTATAATATTACTGTATATCTCTGTCAGAAAGTATTCTTGTGCAGAAAAGCCCTGAGGCTCTTAGGCTATTTCAGCTCTCTTGGATATTGAAGAATACATATATTGGTAATGTAGAGGTATGAGAGATCTGTACCTGTTTACCAAGAGTGTTGAATAGTAATGGACCTAGGTAATTAAGAAAACATGAATTCAAGGACAGGCTGTGCCACTCTTTGCTTTGCTGTGGGTTGTGTCTGTATTACTGTACAAAGCGAAGTTTGGTTTGATTGCCAATGGACAAGCAAATAGGCCACTTTAAAAAGCAGAGCAGAAGTATGAAAATTTTAAAAGCTTGGGGACCTTCTTTCAGTTATTTTGCTGGCTTTGGGCTATCATGAGATTTTTCTTTGTTTAAGGATCACATTTATCTTTTTTATGAACAGAATTATTGTGATTCATGAGTCTTTTATTTTTCTGTGAGGGCTCTTTTCAGGAAGCTGTTCCTCCTTCTTCTGTCCTGGGGTTCCCTTCCTATGATTCAGTGAGTTCTGTTGTTGGGCTAGTAGTAGTTTGAAATGTTTTGAGAAAGGCAAATGTAGCTAGTGTCATGTCTCCAGCAGTAAACTATTTGATCCTTTCTTACCTTGAAGGGCAGAATCTTGAGGTGATAACTGCACAGTCTCCTTTGAGCAGTTTCACCATCTCCATGCTTCTCATGGTCGTTTCCTTGGTGCACAGTGAACAACATGAACTTACCTGTTTCTGACTACAGCTGATTATATTATCTTCTCATAAACTCTGATTATATTCTAGCACTGACTCGGGACTGTATTGGAAAGGAGCACTCCTGTCCTACATAATCTGTTTGTCATAAGGGAAATAAACAGAAGGAAAACTCTTATTTTCCCTTATGTCCTAGAACCTTGACAGCTGCCTGCACGTCTGTTTTGCACCCTTGCCCACTCTGTGATTGAAATGTGACTGTAGAAAACCACACACCTCTTGGTTGCAAGATACTTGTACTTCATAGGTGTCTTCTGTCCTGTGCCTGGTGTCTGGCTGCCATAGGGAGATGTTATCTGGAAGTTCTGGAGGACTTTTTTCTCATTACCCCTCTCCCTACTGCACTCCCAAGGGTGTATCATGCTTCCTTTGTTTATCAAGGAGTTGTTGTTCTCATGTTTTTTCTTTGTTAGGCTGAGATGGGACTTCTTAAAGATTACTGTGATCCTGATCACTGATTTGTGTAATCGGCATCTCCCTCAATGCCTGCAGCCCTGTTAGTTCCATAATCATGGCAGTGTATGGTATTTCCCTTGCTACACCTGGACCCGTGTCGCACTGCCTACTTCAGACACATCCTATTGATTGTTTAGCACTAAAACAATGGGCTAGGGTGTTATATACTCAGTAAGAAATAGTATTACATGGAACTATATTTCACTGAGATACCTTTGCAATATACCAGAAAGTGTTGTAAAAACTGTCGTGGGTGCTTGACAGTCTAGGATATCAGGAGGCTACCTCTTCTATTTCTACTCCGTTTCATTAAAATTTTATAAGTGGGGTTTTTTTCTTTCATTCATGGTGGAGGTCTTGTTTATTTTGAGTCTGTTTTCCCTTTGTTTTCGTTAGTATGTTGTGTTTATTTGATCTGTATGAAAAGATTACATTAGTTTCTATTTATAGCAACTTTTATCCTCCTAAATGGGGAGTACTTTGTGTAGCGACAAAATGAAATAGCCTCGTATGGAAATGACCTTGTTTATAATTTCATTGGATAAAAGCCATTAGAAAGATGCTGTAAGGAAGAAACCTGGAGGGAATAAGAAGCATTCTGGAAGGTCTGCCTTCATCATCTAGCTCTGTTGTCAGTGGTTTTGCCAGGGTAATGAATGAAACTCTTTTCAGGCTTTGGTGCATGTTTCAGATTGATGACTGCTTTCCAGGACTCTGAAACACTGTCTAGTTAGAGATGGTAACTGTCTTAATTTATGTTTGCTTAGGGATCAGTTTTTTGCGTGTGTATGTGTGTGTATAAACAAAAAAGTGACACTCTCAGTGTCTCTTTCAGCAGTATCGAGTCTCTGGGTTGATTCTGGTTTTGTGCTGCAGGAGAACCACACCCTGGGCCGGCACTGAAAAGGTTTATGTGTAAACTTTGTTATCTTGCATTCACCATGGGCTAGGTACATACACATGGAAAGTTACCAAGACCCAGTGATGACTTGTTAAGCTTCTGTAGCTTGAATGCCTCTTCAAACATCGGGTGACCAAGCTCTGTTTTACTGCCTCAGTGTAGCAACAGTGAGGTTGAGACGCTCCCTAGATTTGCAAACCCTAATTTACAGTTGTTTATAATTTTTTTCCATGATGTTTACCCTTTGACAGATGATTGTGTTAGCTCAGAATTGAATTTTCTGTGGCTCCATCATACTTGGAACACAATAAATAATGCTTAAACTTCAAAGCACTATACAGCTATCAGCCCCAGAGAGGGCCCGTGGGATGTAAAGTATTTATTTCTGTCTGTGTAAAGGAGGACAGCAGTTCAGAGAAACTAATATGTTCAAGGGCTCTGGTTGAGTGGGAAATGCCTGCAATTAGAAGTCAACAGAAGTGGGATTGTAGAAAACCTATTGTAAGTGTATTTCTGTTCTTTTTTATTATTATTTTTAAATATTGATTATGTATCTTGTTGGGTTGTAATGAGTTTTTGATCATCATCTGTGTGCATTTGAAGGTGTCACTGCCAAAACTTTGTTTAACAGAAACTAGGTGATAGAATGGCTGTCACTTCTGAAGTCAGTGATTTCTTAGCCTGAGCCTGTGGGGTTGTGTGTCTCCAGCACAGAATAGGTGCATTTAAACTTTAAAACCATGTGTTGCAAGGAAATACCAGAATCCAAAGACTGCACCCTTTTTCTAGCGGTGGGGATTTCTAACAGACTTTTTCTTGGCCCATTCT